TAAGGCAACAGAATCAAAACACTGGGCAATTCAGGGAGACCCTGCCTCAAAATAAAAAATGAAAAGGGCTGAGGGATGCTGAGTAGTACAACACTTCTCTCTCTCTCTCTCTCTCTCTCTCTCTCTCTCTCTCTCTCTCTCTCTCACACACACACACACACACACACACACAAAGAGTTCTGCTAATTCCCTTAAGGAAAATACAGGATTCTAGGCAGATAAAATTACCTGTCAGCTCTGTCAACCCCTTCTCAGTCTCATTTACTTAGGGGAAGTTTTGTATATGCCTGAACTTTGAATTTCAAGACTCCTGACCACCTGACACATCAATGTGGACCATGAAAAAAAGGGAAGAATTTTGAAATCTTGATCAAGAGTAAGATATTTTATAAACTTAAATCATATATAAAGTTTAGACATAGTCATTTGTTTCCCTGGAAAAGGCTTTCTTTGAACAACAGCACCCTTTATTGAGTACTCTATTCACTAGGATTGCTATCAATCACACAATAAACCTGGTTTCTAAGGCCAGTGAAGAAACATAACTAATAACTTCTTTGAAAAAGAAACATATCAACCAGGATCTTATTCATGAAAATCTATCATTGCCTTAAAAAAAATGCCAATTTTGATGATACTCACTCACCTAGTACCGCGCATACTAAAGGACGGCAGGGAAGGTTCTTGTCTGCTGCCTTCTTCCTGTGTCTCATAGGCTTCACACACACAAAAAGAAAAAAGGAAATTAGACAAATGAACTGATAGCCAATGTTTTATCACATATGTTTCTAATGCAAATAAAATCACTTCTGCAGAGATGCTACCTTTTCTTTCTCTTTTTCTAGTGGTGGAGGTAGGAACAGGGAAGACTTGTAAATGCTTCTCAGTTACCAGCAAAAGTGGGTGACAAAAATACAATTCACAGCAAGGCAACAACAGTCCTAAAGGGCACTGATGCACACTAAACAGAAAAGTTGCTGTTTTTACTTTATTCTATTGATACCACATGAGCGGTATTATTAACATCAAAAGAGGTACACTTGTTAATTTTCTTTGATAAAAAAATAATTAGGGCTGGGGCTGTGGCTATAGTGCTCGTCTCACATGTATGTATCTCACTGGGTTTGATCCAGCACCACATAAAAATAAACAAATAAATAAAGGTATTGTGTCCATCTACAACTAAAAAATAATTTAAATAATAATAATAATTAAGCAAAGAAGAGGAGGTGATGGTGGTGGTTATAGATGCAACAATGGTACCAAATGCAAAAACAAAATTTTCAAATCTAAACCTCAAAGCAATATTTCTTAAACATACCTACAAGCTTGAGGATAGTACCTGATCTTCCATATTCTATTTATCCCATCTTTCAGATGAATAAAATCATTAAGCACCTAGTCTTGGCCAATCTAAGATCACACTACATTTTGAAAACATAGGCTGAGACCCATCACTTGGTTGAAACTGGAACGTTACTGACACATTCTGATAACAATGCAGTGTCTCTATGGTTGTGGCTCTTTCTATCCTCTCTTGAGCAAGAAACAGTTCCCTGATGCACAAAAGTCCCAAAGATAGGCATGAGTCTACTGAACAGCAGTCATGCAAGAATCTTTTGGTACAATTTCCCATCCTTTTTTGATCTAGTAGAATTAATTTCATGCCAACAAAAAATATTCTCTGAGAAAATAAGAAGCAAAAGTAACACCTACCATTCTGTGTAAATTCACTCGAAAATTCATATTGTCATCATGCAAAAATGCATTGGCATACTGATCCTGATAAAAATCAAGAAAAAGTAAGGAGTAAGAGCTATATTTAAGAAATTCAGTATAATCTGTCACACCTTCTACAAATCCCTAGATTTAAAGAACTACTTTGGCCAGACATGGTAAGGCAGAAAGAGGAGTGCAAGTTCAAGGACAATCTGAACAATTTAACAAAACACTGTCTCAAAAATAATGGCAGAAGGAGGGGAGAACATGGGTGTTACTCAGTGGTAGAGGGCTCCTGGGTTCAATCCCCAATACAAAAAGAAAAAAAACAAAATCTATTTTCACAAATCAGTTGGAAAGCTAATGGGATCAGCCCACTAGAGCCTTTACATCAAACCCTATTTGAGTCATGAGATTTTATATCTTTTTTTTTCCCAGTATATTTTTAACTGGTAAAAAATCTCTTAAAAAATTAAAACAATAAAAATTAAGACCCAAAGACTTAAGGAAAATACTAAGAAGAAACTGTTTTCCTATTCCCTTTTCCTTCCCATATGCCCAAGGAGTCAGCTGTTTATGACAGCTTGAAGGTTTTCTTAGGGGCTGCAGGATGCATGCACAGGGTCCTCATGAGACTAGGAATAAGCAGAAAGGTCTGTGCTCTACTAGGAATGAGCTCAGCATAGCAGGAGACAAGTGCTACACAGGCAGTGTGGAAGCAGGTAAGACCTTTCTACTTCTGGCTTTGCTGAAGACTGACAGAAAATCAAAAACTTCTCACCAAGGATTGGTAATAAACATCCTTGGCCTTTTCCCAACACCTCTTCTGAAGATTTGACATGCTTACAGACTCCAATTACTGGGAACTGTTGCAACTTGTTAAAAACAACTTCTTTAAAGATTTTCTTCGAAAGATTTTTGAAAAGCAATTACACCAGGCCCACTGCTAATAAGCAGCACTTCTATAACCAGCTTTCCATAGCCTTGTGAAAGGAGGTCATCTTCCCACAGAGAACATAAATAAGGAAACTATGAGAGATTTCTATTCCATGTGGACCACCTTGACTATTTTTCTTAAGAGAGAAAAGAGTAAGGAATAATAAAAGGGAGAGGTTGAAGCTATAAATTTAGCTCTAAACTGACTCAGGTTCTGCCACAGCTGTATGTCACTAAGATCCACGATGAGTTAGAGCCTAATTAATCCAATCCAAAGTGCCTCTTCACAAACCATAAGCACTTCTTCCTTTTTTCCCCTCAGTCTTGTCTTCACCAAACTGCAATCACTCCCCACCCTGGATATTTTCTCTACTCCTTTGTCCCCAGGAAACCCAAACTCCTCTTTTATATTGCTAAATGCAAGAGACCCAAAAAGAGCAGCTTCAAAGTGACAAGATTATTCTTTCTAAAGAGTTATAACTCCCTTGTTTAAAATTCCTTAAACAAAAAAAAAAAATCCAGAATCTTCTAGTTCTCAACTATAGCAGTTACCATATCACAATTCATTATTAATGCATCTAGTAAATGCTGGCTGAACCTCTACCATATGCCTGATACAGAGAATAACGTGTAAAAAGATGCCGGGCATGGTAATGTACACCTGTAATCCCAGCAACTTGGGAGGCTAAGTTCAAAGTTAACTTTAGCAACTTAGTGAGGTCCTAAGCAACTGAGAAAAATCCTGTCTCTAAATAAAGTATAAAAAAGGGCTCTGGATGTGGCTCAGTGGTTAAAGTACCCCTGGGTTCAATCCCTGGTACCAAAAAAAAAAAAAAAAAAATTGAAAAGACAACAAAGACCCAGTTGTTGGAGTTTACTTTCTAGTGGGAAGGAACAGACAATACAGAGAGGGAAGATTTTCTCTCTCAAGGAGCCGGTTACTTCCTCAAACCTGATCAGCTCTAAACCCGGATCCGCCTTGGTCCTTGAGCAAGGTTACTTTATTAAAGCATGCATGCAATGTCCCATCGAATGTCCTCTAAGCAGCATGGGGTACGCTTGGCAAGGAAATTTCGTCATTCCTACTTGGTGATGGCCCTCAGCACAAGGGACAGAGCAAGGAAAAAACAGCACTTTGTAAGAGACAAACCAATACCAGAAGGAAGGCTGTTGAGACCTACCTCTGCAATACACGTAAGGATGATCAGACAGAGCTTGCCACTGTGAAGCCTGTGTTCATCTGTGAACAAAATACACCATTCTCTGTCCATCACACAGATCACATTTTAACAGAGAAGAAAGGTATACATCATTAAAAGTAACATTCACAACTCTCTTTCCCCACAAAATTCATGAATGAAAATCAAGATACTACTAGAGTATATCTACCTTCCCTCCCAGGCAAGAGAATTCCCACAGAAAACCTCCTTTTTATTCCTCCTTAAATATCCTGGTAGTATGTTAAACACTTTCTTGAAAGTCATCTAACCCTTGTAATGGCTCCTTATCATCCTAAGACAACTCACTCTCTCCCTTCAGAGTGTCCTCTTTTCCCTTTTCCTATCCCTTCAAATAACTTCATGCCTGTTACTCTGAGACATATCTGAAATCTTTCCAACGTGACCCAAGAACTGGTAAGAGAGGACTGCCCTATAACCTTGTCATGGCCCATTGCCTTTGTGTCCAAAACAGCCCTTTGCTTCTGAATAGTCAGATCCAGTCCCTTTCCCACTCCCTTGTCTACCACCTATAAGCACCATCATTTATACTACCTACCACAAAATCTAGAAAGGTTTCATGACTGTTTATAGTAAACCAACAATGAAATCAGAAAGAAATTAACTGGAGAACCAGGGTCCAGCTCATACTTCTCCTTGCACTGTGCACATTATTTATGACCTGGAAAGATATGAACTCTTTATTAAAGATTTTTAAGAGTGGCACAGTGGCATATGCCTATAATCCAGCAGTTTGGGAGGCTAAGGCAAGAGGACTACAAGTTCAAAGCCAGCCTCAGCAGTTTAATGAGGTCCTAAGCAACTCAGTGAGACCCTGTCTCTAAATAAAACATAAAAAGAACTGGGGATGTGGTTCAGTGGCAAATGCCCCTGGGTTCAATCCCTGGTACCAAAAGGCAAAAACAAAAAAAGATTTTAACTCCTAACAAAGTTATTCATTCAACAACTATTTATTTAGCACCTACTATGTAGCAGGCACTGTACTAGGCACTAGAAATATAGTACTGATCTAACAAAGGTCTCCAGCTCCCAGAGCTCACATTCTAATCATTTAAAAAGAAAGCAAAGGGTGGAGGGGTAACTCAGTGGTGGAATGCTTGCCAACCATGTGCAAGGCCTTGAATTTAATCCCGAACACAGAAAAGAAGAAGAATAGAAGGCAGTAACCTCCATAACAGAGCTCTAGGCCCACATACAAATGACCAAAAAAGACAGTGCCACAGTGCTTGCCTAGTGTGTACAAAGCCCTGGATTCCATCCCCAGTACCTGGGGAAAAAATTACTTCATCACTGCCAATTACCAAAACCATGAAAACTTTCTTCCAAGAACTTTGTAAGAGAGTGAAATGGAGGTAAGAAGAGGGCCATGCCTGTGCATCCAAAAAAAAAAATAGCTCATGATTTTCATATTTGCTTTAATAAGACCCAGATCAAAGTCCATTCTGGAAAGACCTCTTGACAGATTGCAGCACCACAGAAATTAGCTAATATTACTCTTCTTGTAATATTAGCTAACTTCTTCTTCTTCCTCAAAGACAGAACCTATCAATTAAAACTTAACAATTAGAAGGTATAATGGGGTTTGCAGTCCTCTTCTCAGAGACGGGCGGTGCAAAAAAAGTGCTAATAATCCCTATCTGATTCCCTATAGCTGGCAGTAGAGCCCTCAAGCAGTCAGGAGAGCAATACCATTGCCTATGCAAAACTAGTTTCAGGACACTCTTCTAATTTGTAGCCATTTTTCCACTTAAATTAAAAAAAAAAAAAACAGTTTCTGAATACAAAAATAAGGCAGGCAGGCTGGGATTATAGTTCAGTGGTAGAGCACTTGCCTCGCTAAAATAAAGGTATTGTGTCCATATACAACTTAAAAAAAAAGGGGGGCTGGAATTGTGGCTCAGAGGTAGAGCACTCGCCTAGCATGGCCAGGACCCGGGTTCGATCCTCAGCACCACATAAAAATAAAGGCATTGTGTTGTGTCCATCTACACCTAAAAAAATAAATAAAAGAGTTTTTTTTTTTTTAATGTAAGATACATTTCAATATAGACATGTTTTAAACTCAAGAAAACAAAAAACTCCCAATAAAACCAAGTTTAAAACTTTAAAAACTTCAGTGAAGCAACTTTAAGTCTATGTTAAAATATTTTTTTCCTATGTCCATGTGTGCACAGGTGTACTGGAGATTAAATTCAAAGCCTTGAACATGATAGCCAAGTGTGCTGACATTGAGCCAGAACCCCAGCACTAATGTCCATTTTTTTTTAACTTATGTCCATTTTAAAGGTACATCAGGTGCTCACTTCAGCAGCACATATACTAAAACTGAAACGATACAGAGAAGATTAGCCTGGCCCCTCGCATGGATGATATGCAAATTCGTGAAGCATCCCATATTTTTTTTTAAGAGAGAAGAGAGAGAAAGAGAGAGAGAGAGAGATTTTTTAATATTTATTTTTTTTAGTTCTCCGCGGACACAACATCTTTGTTTGTATGTGGTGCTGAGGATCGAACCCGGGCTGCACGCATGCCAGGCGAGCGCGCTACCGCTTTAGCCACATCCCCAGCCCCATCGTCCCATATTTTTAAAAAATAAAATAAAGGTACATCAGATGCTCCTTTGAGGTAGCAACACAAAAATCAGAAAGGGTTAAAAAGCAGAATCAAATCAAGATAATGATAAACATGAAAGTAGATATACATTCAAGGGAGAATGGGGACAGCAACTGCAAAAGAAAGATGCCTTTGGGGTAAAAAAAGGACTAGGCATTCAAGGGAGAAAGTGGAATATCTCCAGAGGGAAAGAACCTTCAACAGCATTAATAGTGTTCTACTTTTTTAAGTTGAATGGTAAGTTCACATGTTTGTTTTATTATTATACTTTGCAACATGCTATTTATTACAGATTTTATAGCTTTTGTTTTGTTACTGGAATTGAAAATAGGGGCATTCTATCACTGAACAATATTGCCAGTTTTATTATGTTTTTAGAAGATTTTTCTTGGCTCTGTCCATACCCCAGGATATTATTTTATTTATTTATTTTCTTACTTCCTTACTTATTCATTTAGTACTGGAGTGTTTTAGTCAGCTTTTTCCCTGCTGTGACTAAAGGACCTGACCAGAACAATTGCAGAGGAGGAAAGTTTATTTGAGGGCTCATGGTGTCAAAGGTGTTGGTCCATAGAAGGCGGGCTACTTTCCTTGGGGCTCAAGGTGAGGCTGAACATCATAGCAGGAGAGTGTGGCAGAGGAAAGCAACTCAAACTGTGAGCAGGAAGCAGAGAGAGAATCTACTAGCCAGATACAAACATACTCAAAGCCAATTCCCACCTCCTCCAGCCACACCCTATCACTTCAGTTACCACTCAGTTAATCCCTATCAAAGAATTAAATCACTGATTGGGTTAAGAATCTTACAACCCAATCATTTCTCCACTGAACCTTCTTGCACTGTCTCATCCGTGAGCTTTTGGGGGACACCTCACATCCAAACCATAACACAGAGATTGAACTCAGGAGTGCTTAACCATTGAGCCACATCCCCAACCCTTTTAATTTTTTATTCTGAGACAGGATCTCACTTAGTTGCTTAGGACCTCACTAATTCACTGAAGTTGGCTCAAACTTGCAATCCTCCTGCCTCAGCCTCCCAAATTGCTGAGCTTACAGATATTTCATTTACTTATTTATTTTTAAATTTTGAAACAAGGTCTTGCTAAATTTCTAAAGCTTGAACTTGTGAGTTTCTGGGATTACAGCTGTGCCCTACTGTGCCCAGATTATACTACACAATTTATATTTATCTATTAAAAGTATCTTCTTATAAATATCAAGGGATAGATACATAATAAAGAAAAACATAATATGCTAGGTGGGGAACAGGTATAGAGCTGAGAAAAAGTTGCCTCTAAGAACATAATATGATCCTGTTAGTCAGAGAATGACACAATAGGTCAAGGATTAAGACCAGAAGAGAGCTAGGCCAATGAAGTTCACAGGGACCATTTTTCAAATTAACTCTTCATCATACCTAACCTTGCCCTTTATCATATTTAGTCTCCCTGTTGGCAAATACCTAATGCAGCCTGAGTTTACAAACACTAAGACCACCCATATTGCAATTAATTTGCCCTAAATTTTGGCTTCTATTCTACAGACAGTGAAGTGACCAGGACAAAGAGGGTTATATAATGATTGACAGCTAAAAATGAGTTCCAACAGAGCCTCAATTCACTGTGTTACATCAAGCAAAGCTGAAAGTTCATTTTCTGGGTCACATTCATGCAATTTCTCTCTTCTATGTTTGCTACAATATTTCAAGAGAAAGAAAGATGTTACCCATTTCCATAAAGAAACAATAGCCTCAGGAAATTCATATATAAGAGTCTTGTTATCCTTGCTTGCCAGGTCTCATTTGCCAAGTCTCAAGATTCAGCCACCTTGGCAGTTCTCAATGGACTATTCTATGTTAGGCATTTGTGATATGGAATATCTGCATCTATCTCACCGTGTGTGTAGCTCTCCTTTATTTGGGGGGGGGGTGTACTAGAGATTGACCCCACCCCAGGGGTACTTAACCACTGAGCCACATGCTCAGCCATTTTTATTTTTTATTTTGAGACGAACTCTCACTATATTGCTTAGGCCTTGTTAAATTCCTGAGGCAGGTTTTGAACTTGGGATCCTCCTGTCTCAGGCTCCCAAATCACTGAGATTACAGGCAAGAGCCACCATGCCCAGTAGCTCTCACTCTTGAAAGAGCACAATCATAACACATAAGAGAAAAAAATCTAAATTTGCAAGGTGTAAATCTCCAAGAGCTAATGCAAATATGTCTCAGACTCACCAACCTGCTCTGGCAAGTCTTCATTTCCCATATTTGTCTTTTACTCTCCTACCTCTATCTACCAATGTTTCCTTCTCACTCCAAAAGCCCCTGAAACTGGTCCTCCCCTTCTATACCACTCTTGCTTTTCAGCTACATTCTAGATTTCCAAAACCCTCATACAAGCACCTGTTCAGTTCACTTTGCAAATAAAAGCCTTCAAAAGTATACTAAATGGGGTTGGGCTTATGGCTCAGTGGTACAGAGTTTGCCTAGCACGTGCATGGTGCTGGGTTCAATCCTCAGCACCACATAAAAATAAATAAAGGTATTGTGTCCAACTACAACTAAAAAAAAAAAAAAAAGTATACTAAATGCCTGCAAGAACCTTAAACCATCCATAAGGTATTAATCTCTTTTCACAGAAAGTAAGATAGCAAAAATAATTATATTTTAAAAATTGTGCCTCTACCATGAAAATGGCTTTTTTGATATCTGGGACTCTGAAGTTAGTCCACAGACCACAATTTAAGAACTCCAACCTTGTTCTGGGGACATAGCTCAGTAATAAAGTGCTTTCCTAGCACGCATGAGGCCCTGAATTCAATCCCCACTACTATAAAAACAAAACAAAACAAAACAAACAAATAATCTCTTAACTTTATTTACTAAGCAGTCAGTTCCTAAAATAGGATTTAAAGACCCATACAGGGAAGGTTTCAAAGGAAAAATAAAATATGTGTCAATTTGTTAAGAGTGATTGATTTTGTTACGAAGACCTTAGAAGATAGAAAGACCTTCCATGTTCTTGGAAAGGCAGAATTAATATTGCCCAAACGGCCACACTACCAAAAGCGCTATACAGATTTAATGCAATTCCTATTAAAATTCCAATGATGTTCTTCATAGAAATAGAAAAAGCAGTCATAAAACTCATTTGGAAAAACCAGAGGTCCAGAATAGCCAAAGCAATCCTTCCTTAGCAAGAAAAGTGAAGCAGGAGGCATCACAATATCAGACCTTAAATTATACTATAGCACTATAGTAACAAAAACAGCATGGCATTTGCACCAAAACAGATATGAAGACCAATGGTACAGAACATAAAACACAGAGATAAACCCACATAAATACAGTTATCCCATAGTAGACAAAGGTGCAATAAACATATACTGGAGAAAAGATAGCCTCTTCAACAAATGGTGCTGGGAAAACTAGAAATCCATATGTAGCAAAATGAAATTAAACCCCTCTTACCTTACACAAATCTCAAAGTAAAATATCAAGGACCTAGGCATTAGACCAGAGACCCTGAGCCTACTAGAAAAAAAAGTAGGCCCAATGCTCCACCACGTCTGCTTTGGAACCAAATTCCTCAACAAGACTTGTAAAATGCAAGAAGTAAAATCAAGAATCAAAGCTGGGAGCAGAGGCTCATGCCTCTAATCCCAGCAGCTCAGAAGTCTGAGGCAGGAGAATCACAAGTTCAAAGCCAATCTCAGCAATTTAGCAAGGCCCTAAGCAACTCAGTGAGACCCTGTCTCTATATAAAATACAAAAAAGGGCTGGGTATATGGTTCAGTGGTTGAGTGCCCCTGAGTTCAATCCCTAGTACCAAAAAAAAAAAAAAAACCAAAGGGGATGATACTAAAAACTAAAAAGCTTTTTCACAGCAAAAGAAATAATAAAGAACATGAAAAGAGGGGCTGGGGTTGTGGCTCAGTGGTAGAGCACTTGCCTGGCATGTGTGAGGCACTGGGTCCAATCCCCAGCACTATATAAAAAACAAATAAATATAGGATATAGGTATTGTGTCCATCTACAACATATGTATATCTGTGTGTGTGTGTGTGTGTGTGTGTGTGTGTGTATGAGAGAGAGGGAGAGATAGAGAGAGAACATGAAGAGAGAGCCTACAGAATGGAAGAAAATCTTTGCCAACTGCACCTCAGATACAGCATTAATCTCCAGATATATAAGGAACTAAAAAAAACTTAACACCAAAAAAAACAACCCAACCAATAAATGGGCAAAGGAACTTCACAGAAGAAATATGAATGGTCATCAAATAAATATATGAAAAAGTGTTCAACATCTCTAGCAATTAGAGAAATTCAAATTAAAAACTACACTGAAATTTCATCTCATTCCAGTCAGAATGGCAATTATCAAGAATACAAGTAACGGGGCTGGGGAGATAGCTCAGTTGGTGGAGTGCTTCCTTGCCTCACATGCACAGGCCCTGGGTTCAATCCTCAGCACCACTGAAAAAAAAAAAAGAATACAAGTAACAATAAATGTTGGTGAGGATATGGGGACAAGAGTACACTCTCATACATTGCTGGTGGGACTGCAAATTGGTGCAACCCCTAGGGAAAGTTGTGTGGAGATTCCTCAGAAAACTCGAAATAGAACCACCCAGCTGACCTATTTATATTTGGGTTCATAACAGACACATACATAACAGTTATATTTGGTATACACACACACGCACACAAAGGAGTGTCTTGGTATGTACCTAAAAGTCTTAAAATCAGCATACTACAGTGACATCAATGTTTATAGCAGTTCAAATCACAATAGCTAAGCTACAGAATCATTGTAGGTGGCCTTCAACAGATGAATGAATAAAGAAAATATGGTACATATACACAATGGAATATTATTCAGCCATAAAGAAAAATGAAATTATGGCATTTGCTAGTAAATGGATGAAACTGAAGACTATCATGTTAACTGAAATATGCCAATCCCGTAAAACCAAAGGCTGAAAGTTCTCTCTTATATGTGGATACTCACACACAATAAGGAGGTGTGAGGGAAGAATAGATGTTCTTTGGATTAGACAAAGAGGAATAAAAGGGGGACATAGAAATAGGGAAGACAGTAGAATAAATCAGACATAATTTTCCTATGTTCATATATGAATACATGACCAATGTAGCTGCACATCATGTACAACTACAAGAATGGGAAGTTATACTCCATGAATGTATGTCAAAATACACTCTACTGCCATGTATATCTAAAAAAAAAAGGACTGATTGATTTTGGAAAACTTAGTTGAAAGCACTTTTACTTTCTAAATTAACTATTGCTACAAAGTTTTAATATTTAAAAAGCAATACTTCAATTACTTTCTAATTAGACAAACAAATCCTTCTAAATGAAAGAAGCCACTGGATCAACCTGTAAAAAAATTTTTTTTTTTTTAGCAATTAGAGAAATTCAAATTAAAAACTACATTTCATTAAAATGCTAGATATGGGGCTGGGGTTATGACTCAGAGGTAGAGCAGAGGCCTAGCATGTGTTAGGCACTGGGTTCCATCCTCAGCATCACATAAAAATAAACAAAAGTTTTGTGTCCATCCACAACTAAAAAAAAAAAATTAAAAATAAATACAATAAAGTCATTCTGTTCATCCACAACTACAAAAAAAAAAAAAAGAAAGAAAGAAAGAAAAGTTAGGTGTGGCACTCACTCCTGTAATCCCAGTAGCTTAGGAGGCTTAGCAAGGCCATAAGCAACCCAGTGAGACTCTGACTCTAAAATACAAAAAAGGGCTAGGGATGTGGCTCAGTGTTTAAGCACCCATGGGTTCAATTCTAGCTAGGTGTGGCAGGCATGGTGGCATGCACCTATACTCAGGAGGATCACAAGTTGAGGGCAAGCCTCTGCAATTTAGCAAAGCCCTGAACAACTGAATAAGACCCTGTCTCAAAGTGAAAAATTAAAGGGCTTGGGGATACAGCTCAGTGGTAAAGAGCCCCTGGCTTTGATTCCGAGTACAAAAAAAAAGGAGAAAAAATGCTAGCTCAGTGCTGGGGGTATAGCTTAGTGGTCGAATTCTTGCCTAGTATGCAAGAGATGCAAAAGGCCTTGGGTTCCCTTCCCAGCACCAGGCTGAGGTGGGGCAGACAGTGGGTAGTTCAATGTTACAATAGAATAAAAGGCCTATTTTCTAGAAATGTTAAAACTGGGATAAATTGTACTTATATGAAATACCTAGAGTAGTCAATTCATATAGACAGAAAGCAGAATGGAGATTTCCAGAAACTCAGGGATAAGGAGAATGAGTCTTAGTGTTTAATAGGTACACGGATTCAGTTTTAAAAGAGTTCTGGAAATGGATAGTGATGATGGTTGCACAGAACATAAATGCTCTTAATGCCTAACTGTACACTTAAAAATGGTACACACCTATAGCCCCAGCACACAGGATGCTGTGGGAGCATCCCCTGAGACCAGGAGTTCAAAACCAACCTAGGCAACATGGTGAGACCCCATCTCAAATTTAAAAAGGTTACAAGGGTAAATTTTATGTATGTAAAGAAAAAACACTAAATAGGAAAAAAACCTGGCATATATATATTGGATAGAATTTGTTAAGTCTCAAATTCATTCCTACTCTAAGCTCAAGCAGTCTGCTAAGCTACAGGGAATTAAAAGGCCATAGCAAAATCATAAGCAAAGAAAGAATGGGAAATCAAACAGAAAAAAACTCAAAACTTTTCCAACAATCCTCTCCCACTCTGCATTTCTAGGGTGAGTGTTGACATTTCTATTTTAAGTGTTAAGGAAACAGTCCCTCTGAATCTCACCTCTTCCTACTCTGCACAACAGTCCTCTAATTCTCACAAGCTGATACTTTCAGTTCTTGTCCTCAAAAGGGAATTCCCTGAAGCATGTTAATCCCCCCAACTTCCTACACAAAAGAGTGCATCTACTTACCAAGATTTGCTAAGACAGTTGCTAGTTTTTATAGAGACCAAATTTTTTCCTGTTCTATTTGTTAAAACTTCCCTTCAATTTCAGGTTTTCCCAACATCACCTATTTCCACCTTGCTATGAGAAATCACTGTTTTCCAGAAATCACAACCATCACCCTGAACAGGAGGCCCCACTAGTTCATCTTGTCAAAATCTCAAAATATTAATGCTACTTATTGATTCTAGCTGCCTGCCACACCTCCTGCTTCCTGTGCCCCCAAAGTAGCATACCTTACCTTTGGTGTCCTGCATGACAATTGAGCTATACTTTAGGAAGGTTATCAGCAGATTACTGGTCTGTACATCTGCATCCAGTGGGAGTTCCACAGAACTTATAACTGGAATAGAACACATAAAATGCACTTAGCCCATAACATATTCCATCTAACACTCTACCCACATAGCCAATTTGCCAGCAGGCAAGAAAATGACTAAATACACTTTTCCTGCAACATAAGGAGAACCAAGTACTTACCATAAAACTTGTATTTACTCTTCCTAGGTCTCTAGAGCCGTACCTACTCCCCAGATTAAGCCCAATAACTTCTCCTATATACAGTCAGTCTCCAGGAATAGTACTTTTCTCCCAAAATCCTAAGAAGAGCTGATTCTACTTCCAGCCCCACATAACCCTAAAGGGTTCAGAGCCCTTCTTAAAAGCACTGTAATTTCTACCTAAAGGAAAGATAAGTATTAAGTATAAATGGGCTTTGCTTTGATGAGTCTCTTGCTTAAAATAAATGAAGATTCCTTCCAAATAAGGAGAAATTTTGCTCAATTTTGAGAACAAGCCTTTAGATTGGAAGTATGCAACACAAAAGGGGGGAAATAACAGGCAAAACTACATCAAATTCTATCCCATAATTCTTGCCCCATGAAAGGGAACCTGAAAAAAATAGCAGACTGAAAATAGGTAGACATAACTGAATAGTATAACCTGGGAACTGTTTCATATATCCAGTTGCTGTATCTGTTTTGTTTTCCTTTTTTGGTATCAGGGATTGAACCCAGGGATGCTTAACAACTGAGCCACATTCCCACCCCTTTTTTTTGAGACAGGATCTCACTATGTGTTTAAAACCCCATTAAATTGTTGAAACTGGCCTCAAACTTGCCATCCTCCTGACTCAGCCTCCCAAGTCAATGGGATTACATGCATGTGCCACTATGCCCAGCTATCCAGCTGTCATTTCTGAAAAAGCCTCAAATATACACTGAATCACAGTTCTGATGAACAATGAGGGGCCAGACCAGGACTGACCCACATAGGACAGTCTTAAAGTAGACTTCCAAGATTCTACAACTTCAAATTAGAATTAGTCAACTTCTTAAGTGCTTTCACACTAAGATATAATATAAAAACAAAAGGAGTCTCATGATGGCTCACATAAGCTGGAGAATCTATAGCTTTGTACTATATCTTCAGCCATGAACACTCAGCTGAGTTTAGGATATCATTTATAATATGTATTCATAACTATAATGGATCCCACTGGAGTTATTACAACGTATATAGAAAACGTTTATTAACAATGGGAAACATTTGCATATTATGGATACATAATACACAACAAGCACAGCAAAAAGCCTTGAGAGGAAATTGGTATGCCTAACCCTTAGCTGTTTTCCCATAGTTCACCCCCCCAAAAATTACAAAAAGATAAATATATTTTTATGTTGAAATACTAAAAGGTCTTAATTCACATTATAAGTTAATGACCTGAGACTGTATTTCAAACCACAGCTTATTTTTGAAGCTCAGAGCCCATAATCATTCCTTTATCCAATACAAACAGGAATCTAACTAGTAAGTGGGACTTTTTTTTCTGGTTCACACACAGCGATAACTGGAAAACTATCTTATATAATATGTAGAAATATAGAAGTATATGTATTTTTAGTTTACCAGAAAGTCCTCTCATGCCAAGGCAGAGTTGTCAAATGTCAAGTCTGAACTGAGAACAAATGTAACTGCTAAACTGCTGGCTTTTAAAAATAATGGCTCCAGTGACATACCTTTAAAAATAACTGGGCTACTGAGCAGCACTATAATTAAAAACCAAAAAATTTTAAAATAAGGTTATAATACTTAGGACCCCTGCAGAAAGGAAATGAGTTAGGAGAGCAAAACAAGAACAAACAGAACAGACAGAATAAAATTCCTCACAAATTAAAATCTCCTTCCTAAGGAAGTATCATTCCTTTGATCTTTGGCTTCATAATTCTTCCCAGCAGATTTTTGTCAAGAGTGACAGTCATCTCAAAGTGGGCTGACTTGATCTTCCCACTAGAAAAATAAAAGCTCACTAGTTGTAGGTAAGCAAGCACAAATCCTGCCATTGCATAATCAAGTGTGTGGGTGGAAGTGTTCACAATGAACAGTTTGAAAGGCAGTTCTCTGAAAGCATCCAAATCCCAACATCACATGGAACTGAGGTGTGTGTGTGTGTGTGTGTGTGTGTGTGTGTGTGTGTGTGTGTGTGTGTGTGTGGTTTTTGATATCCATGGTAACCAGGCAGGCTTCATCCTTAAAGAGAAAGTACATTATTTTCATTGGCTTATTCAGAGACCTGAATAAACAGATAAATAGGCAATCCTCACTACTTGCTTCTTCTCATTAAGATATTTTAGAATTTGGCTATAAAGTTGAAACAGATCCCATTTGCTATCACAGACCTGAATATCAATGGCACCTCCCTGCTCCTGTACTACTTATATCATCTTAAAACACTACTGGCACAAATTCAATATGTGGCTCAGTGAGAGATTGCTTACTTAGTACGCATGAAGCCCTGGGTTTGATCCCCAGCACCCCACCAAAAATAAAGTTAAAGAAGAAAAAGCAGAACAAAGGAGGTCATTTCACAACCAAACAGGAGGGAAATAGAAAAAGAAGAATAAAAAGTGGATTTCCTGTACTTCTTTACAAAAAATTAGGCAACATTTGAGATATAACATCAATATAAATGTAGATTATTTTTAGGTTAAGGAATTCCATCGAACACACTAAGCCTACAATGAAATGAATTCAGGTAAGACAAAGATATCTGGGCAAAGGTCATAATTTATTTTTCCTAATTTATTTTGATGGATCCATAATAACATAAAAATCATACATACTTATGGGGTACAATATACTTTGATAAATGCATACATTGTGTAATATTTAAATTAAGTTTAAATATTTAATATTTAATTTAAGTTTACACATATCTAGCTCCTCAAACATACCTTTTTCTTAAGTTCTGTTATCTTTTTCTTATGTTATAAAGTAAAAATTTATTTTCTTGTTTTTAGGGGAAGAAGTCTTAAATACCTACTAAACTCCCAAATGAAATATAATATAAATACTTAAATCCTGGTCATTTCCATCTCTGAGTGGCCAGCAGACACTTAACAGTGAGCAAATCGCAGGTTCACTACCTCATTAGTTTATTCAACAATTATGTACTAAGCTATAACCATGCTAGGACTATGTTTGGACAAACTAGACACAGTCCCTGCCCTGATTACATATTTTAGTTCTTAGTTTCTACTCTCAAAAACCTTTACTCTCAATAAACTGCTTCATATCTCTGGCCTCAATTCTTTCCTAATCTGTCAAATGGTTGGATGACATAACACTACTATTCTATATTTATTTTAGTATATATTCATATAGTAGTACATTGCATAAAATATATAACTCTTACAAGTACCTGAGAATTTAGCAGAACAGGCAATACTGAACCCTGAGGTCCCTTTCAGAGCTGGCATTTCATTATTCCTGTCAATTCCCTGACAAGGACAAGCTAGAGTTACACTGCTTCTTACTCAAAGAAAAAGCACTTGGCTATCTTTTCCAACGTTTTGGAACTGCAGAAGTACTGAAGGGAATATTATATACAAATTTCTTTTTTAATTTTTATCTTGTTATGATGCCCTATCTGGTCTTGAACTTCTGGATTTAAGTATTCTCCTGCCTTAGCCTCCCTGGTAGGAATACAAGTGCACACCACTGTGCCCAGCTTACATTAATTTCTTACTGAAAGAATTAACTACTGTGTTCCTTGTTTTACAGCTATGCTCACCCTGAAAGATCTAAGATCATATTAATCAATAACATAAATGAGGTGATGGGCTCACCATCAGAGGAGGGTGGCGTGGTCCCAAGTGGTGTGACTGGGGTTGTTGGGGCAGGACTGACAGGGGTTGTCACCAAGCCCATTTCTGGATGACTCTGAAAGAAGACACAGAAGGGTAAGAAAATAGAAATAGAGTTCTTCCTGAAAATTCAATGAGGAGGGACTTCTACATTTAGTTCCAATGAATGACTGACTGATAAGAAGCTCTGTGGAAAGAACAAATTTAAAAAAAAAAAAAAAAAAAAAAAAAAAAAAGAAGCTCTGTGGGCCAGGTTTCTTTAAGCAACTATGTTCCTATTACATAAGTTTTTCTGCAGAACCATACAAGTAAAAAATCTGGAGTAAACAAATTATTCAGGTGAATTCACTTGAAAGAGGGCATTTGCAGTTCTATCCAGACCGGAGAAGGGACTACTCTCATTGGATCAACCTAATATACACCTACAGACTGTTCTAATGATCATAAAATTGACTAATAGATATAAGTGAACAAAGGAGTACTAGATACCACAAAAAGAGCTATGCCATTAGGAGCTTTCCTGACCCACAAGAAATAAAAATGTATTGGGTACAGAGGCAGAGAGACATAGGAAGACATCCAGTAAAAACTAAAACAGATGACTTTTCTGTCTGACTTTCCTCAGCCATCCCTGCCACATCAACTCTGAAGAAGTAAGCTGAGGGTGGCTCTTTTTAATCGTCCTTCTCTTCTCCACTAACTTTACCAGTCTATTACCTTCATTATCTCTTCGTTTAAAATTAGTCATAGAATTTATTTTTTTAAAGAGAGGGAGAGAGGAGAGAGAGAGAGAGAGAGAGAGAGAGAGAGAGAGAGAGAGAGA